CTCTGTGCTCCCAGACCACTGTGCTCCCAGACCTCTGTGCTCCCAGACCTCTGTGCTCCCAGACCTCTGTGCTCCCAGACCTCTGTGCTCCCAGATCTCTGTGCTCCCAGCCCTCTGTGCTCTAAGCTGTGTAGTTGCTGGGCTGGATGAGCCCCACACTGGTGGGCGTGAGCATCCTGGGAGGTTCTGAGGAAACCAACAGCAGAGGTGGTTGTGGTTCCAAGGCTCGGAGGAGCCTGGCTTTTATTAAGAAAAACAACTCTCCCAGACAGAAGGTTGTTTTTACCCAGAAAAACAGTTGGGAGAAGGGAAATGTGGCTAAGCAGCCACCCTCACTCAAGACTCTTAATGTCTACTCAGTCTAAAGGGATCCAGTGCCCCCTGGGGTCCAGACTGAAAGCCTCACTCTGCTTTCCTATGGAGGAGAAATAGAGGGCAGGTTTAAGGAGAGAAGCCACCAGCTGAACACAGGTTAGGGGCTCTGGAACCACAGAGCATCACTCGGTGGCCGGTGTGGAAGAAAAGAAGAGCAGACAGTCAGAATTAAGAAGAGAAAGGGGTCAGGTGTGGTGACACACCTTTAGTTCCAGCACTCCAGAGGCAGAGGCAGGCGGATCTGTGTAAGCTGGTCTACACAGTGAGTTCTAGGACAGCCAGGGCTACACAGAGAAACCCTGTCTTGAGAAACAATACAATACAGAAATTTTAAAAAGAACAGGAAGGAGGTAGCTATTTTGGTAGAACCAAATCAGAGTTTGGGTCCCTGCTTCTGGGAGATCTGAGATTGCATTCTGGTTTCTGTGAGCACTGCACACGTGTGTACATACACACAGACACATATGTAAATTTAAAAATAAAAATAATATTTAAAAATAAATAAATTTGCCATGCAGTGGTGACACACACTTTTAATCCCAGCACCCAGAGGCAGGCAGATCTCTGTGAGTTTGAGGCCAGCCTGGTCTACAAGTCAGGGCTACTACACAGAGAAACCCTCTCTCAAGAAAAACCAAATAAATAAAATTCTAGATTGGTGTTCATTGTTTGATATAATAGTATGCTGTCAAAATATGGTCTCAGTCTTCAGTACTAGAAAATAAATTGACTTCTGTAATCACGGGCAAAGATCAGTTCATGAATTTTCTGTTTAGATGGAGTGCTAAAACTTTCCCTGTGAGATAAAGACAGATTACAGAAAAGCAACCATATATGTGAAATGTGGTTGTTTCTTCTTGATGTGGAAAGTCCTTCTGTATAGGTGTCATTTTTATTGGCTCATTAACGAATGAATAATGAATAAAGAAACTGCTTTGAGCCTATAGCAGGGCAGAACAGAGCAAGGCAAGGAAAACTAAACTGAATGCTGGGAGAAAGAAGGCAGAGTCAGGGAGAAGCTATGTAGCCCTGCCAGGGACAGACACTGGATGGAACCTTGCCAGTAAGCCACAGCCACATGGCAATACACGGATTAATAGAAATGAGATAGATTAAGATGTAAGAGCTAACCAATAAGAAGCTAGAGCTAATAGACCAAGCAGTGATTTAATTAATACAGTTTCTGTGTGGTTATTTTGGGGCTGAGCAGCCGGGAGCAAACAGGTGGCCTCCTGCAACATCTTCTGATTGAGTAAACATGCCATGTTTCTAGTTTATGCAGGTTATTACCATCTGGACCAGAAGTCAATGACGGGTATCGCAGTAGGCGTTGGCATAGCCTTGACCTGCATCCTCATCTGCGTTCTCATCTTGATATACCGAAGCAAAGCCAGGTGCGTTTCCCTTATAAAGATGTAAGCTAGGCGGTGGTGGCGCAGGCCTCCCAGCACTTGGGAGGCAGAGGCAGGCTAATGTCTGTGAGTTCGAGGCCAGCCTGGTCTACAAGAGCTAGTTCCAGGATAGGCTCTAAAGCAACACAGAGAAACCCTGCTGATGTAGGCTCACATATAAAGTGCCAAGTGTGAGAACCAAAGATCCCAGAACCCACAAATGCCAGCCGGGAGTGGTGCCTTCCTATCATCTCAGCTTTCAAGAGGCAAAGGCAGGAAAATGGCTGCAGCTCAACAGCCAGACTGGTGGAAATGGTGAGCTCCAGGTTCAGCTGCAAATGTGAGGTGGGAAGTGATTGACACCTGGGTCAACCTCAGCTCTCCACATGCATACATATGTGAACATACATGCATGCCACACACACACACGTGTGTATGCAATGAAAGAGCTGCTATAATGGTTAAAGACATTTAAATGACAGCAGCTGCAGGAAACGCATTGAAATCAAGGCCTTGTAGAATCAACTGGGTTATTTTCCTCCTTAAAAGGAGTGTAATGTTATGGGGTTTTTATAGCTCAGAATGTGCTGAATTTACACTGAGATCATTTTCCTGCCATTTGGACAAAAAAAAAAAATGCTGTGCCAATAAAAATCCCTAAATGAGAACTTGGTTTCTGCATTTCTGAGTCATTTTGAGAAAATGAGAAGTCTCCTTAAGCCGTTGGTTTTTGCTTTTGTGTCTGTTTTAATGGCACACTTGATCCGGCACATGCCTTCCCCAGAGAATTCCTCATGATCTCTCCTCATGATCTCTCCTCATGATCTCATGTTCAAGTGGCAGCAGACATGCGTTAGTCACCAAGAGAGGCACAGAACAAGCGACCAGAATCGCAGGCTAATGCAATAAATACAGACATGTTAGCCATCAGCTGTTGGGCGAATCACAAACACTACAGCAGTGAGCAACACTAAAGATCCAGAATGTACTATGTGAGACGTAGACATTGGAGAAGCCCCTTGCTTCCAAACCTGTGGGCTGAGGAGCCAGCTCAGTTAGTAGAGGGCTCAGCTGGGATGGTGCAGCTCTGGGCTCATTCCCAGCACTGCAGAAAGTCAGCGGTGGCTTTCGTGGTAGTGCTGGTCGAGCGCAGGAGGCAGAAGCACAAAGATCAAGGTCAAGGGGGTCAGTGGATGGTTCAATGGATGGTTCAGGATGGCTTGGTGGATACAGGTGCTTGCTCACAACCTGACTACCAGAGTTCAGTCCCATATGGTAGGAGTGAACTGAGTCTTGAAAGTCATTGCCTTACCTTCACATGTCCATATGCACGTATGCACACACACACACACACACACACACACACACACACACAGAGTAAATAAATAAATGTAAAATTTTTTTCTGAGATGGGGTTTTTCTGTGTAGCTTTGGAGCCTGTCTTGGAATTTGTTCAAGGCTGGCCTTGAACCCACAGAGGTTCATCTCCCTCTGCCTCCCAAATGCTGGGATTAAAGGCATGCACCACTCCCACCTGGCAATAAATGTAAAATTAAAAAAAAAAAAAAAGTAAATTCAAAGTCATTCTCTTCTACAAGTTTGAGGCCAGTCTGGGATACACAAGTTACTGTCTCAAGTAAAAGAAAATAAAGTAAGGTTATGATTAAATGTCACATTTGGTTCACTTGCCCATACCTTCCATGAGATGAGAAGGCTTTCTTTCCTTACTAACATTTCAGGAAGTCATCTGCCTCCAAGACAACACAGAATGGAACCCAGCCCTTATCCCGAGCCAGCGCCTCTGTAGCCGCGGGGAGTGACGTGGGGAAGAACCTGGAGAGAGCTTCAGAGAATGAAGAGTCCCTGGTACCCATGATGCCGAGCAGCTTCATTGATGCGAAGGTACACTGCGTAATGCTTCTCTCCTGTGTGGAGGAGACTTACCGGGAATGTGTGCTGGGTGTGTTGAGGTTGAGGACACATGAAAGAACAAAGGATGGAAGATACAGGAGGAGTGGGGACAGACACACACTAGACAGGGCTTTGGGAGCTGGGATCCCCATCATTAGTTACTGTGATAATTTGGGCTTCCTTGCACTTCTAGCATCAGCACCTCTATTTTTTTAAGATTTATTTATTTATTATGTATAGAGGGCACCAGATCTCATTACAGATAGTTGTGAACCACCATGTGGTTGCTGAGAATTGAACTCAGGACCTCTGGAAGAGCAGCTAGTACTCTTAACCTCTGAGCCATCTCTCCAGCCCCTTCCTTGCACGCACCTCTATTTTTTTTAAGAATTACTTATTTATTATGTATAGTGTTCTGCCTGCATGTGTGCCTGCTGGCCAGAAGAGGGCACCAGACCCCATTACAGATGCTTGTGAGCCAGCATGTGGTTGCTGGGAATTGAACTCAGGACCTCTGGAAGAGCAGGCAGTGCTCTTACCCACTGAGCCATCTCTTCAGCCCAGCATCAGCACTTTTATTAAATGGTTTTACCTTGAGTTTAATGATTGCCTGTATCGATCCTGTATCGATCCTCAGAGTACACCAGATATAAAGAAGGTTTAGAATTTACTTTTATATAAACCTTTTATATGTGCGAGTGTTTTGTCTGCATGTCTGTCTCTGCATCATGTGTGTGCCCAGTGCCCAGGGACGGCAGAAGAGAGCATCAAATCCTCTAGAACAGGAGTTACAGATAGTTACGAGCTAACATATGGGTCTAGGGGATGTGTCCCTGGTTCTCTGAAAAAGCAGCCTGTGTACTTAACCATTGAGCCATCTTTGTCACCTCCAAAGAATATTTTTTTTTTAAATAAGAAAGATATGGGCTGGAGAGATGACTCAGAACTTGGGAGCATTTTTTGCTCTTCTAGAGGACCTAGGTTCCATTCCCAGCATCCACATGGTGGCTCACAACCACCTGTAACTCCACTTCCAAAGGATCTGACTCCTTTTTCTGACCTCCTGAGGCACATGGTACACATACATACACACAGGCAAAACACTGTGCACATAAAATAAAATAAGTAATAAATACACAACAAACAAACAAATAAACAAGCAAACAAAGATTTGCATACACACCTAAAGAGCTTTCTCTTGTATGTCTGCAGAAATAGATATTATAATGAGGCTTCAATAGAGGGTGCTTCTTCATGTCCTTATCTAGCCTTGTTAAAGCACTATGGACACCAGCTAGAACTTTTGCTTTGTTGTTGTTGTTGCTATCGTTGTTTTGTTTTGTTTTTTTGTTTTTTTTTCCGGAGACAGGTTTTCTTTCTATAGCTCCAGCTATCCTGGAACTCTCCTTGTAGACCAAATTGCCTCAAACTCACAGAGATCCACCTGCCTCTGTCTCTTCAGTGCTAGGGTAAAAGGTGTACTCCACACCTTGACTCTGTCTCGCCTCGTCATATTCTTTGTATAGCTGCTCCGTAACTAATGTGACATGTGTTAGTCACTATTAACTGCAGATACCTACAGCTCTGGGTGTGTGTCCACTGCCTCAGCAAAGAAGGTTTTCTAGATTGTTAAAGGATTCTTAGAAAAGACGATGACATAGCACACACACAGCGCGCGCGCGCGCACACACACACACACACACACACACACACACCCGTGTCCTGCAGAGCCAGCCCCATGTGGAAGAGATTTCTCCCTGTGATCGGCCGTCCTTCACAGACCCTTTCCTGAAGTCAACAATGACGAAAACATTTTCAAGTTTTAGGAGCGTGGATATTAATTCTTGGCATTTCTTTGTTTTGTGTTTCTGATGTATGTGGGCATTTGTATGTCAGGGTGCTCACGTGGAGGCCAGAGGATTGTGGGAGTCAGTTCTCTCCTGCTGGGTGGGGTTGGGACTTGAATTCAGGTCATCAGGCCGTGGCAGGTGCCTTTCTCCTGCTGAGTCTCTTCTCCTGCCCACGCGTTTCTGCTCATTTTTAAAGGTATTTTTGATTTTTGTGTTGCATTTGTGTTGTTTGCAGCCTCTCTTAGCTCTTACTTTATAATTAAAAAAAGCAAGCCCCATTCAACTTATTTCAAATTAATATAGGACATAAAATCTAAAAAGCTGTGTTCGTGTGCGTGCACATGCATGCGTTTTCTCAAGGCATGTAACCCATACTGAATGCAACTTACCATGTAGACAAAGCTAGCCTTGAACGAATTCCTCAGCTTCTGTCTCTTTTGGGATCATACCGGCCACACACTGTACAAGTGGACTTTGTCCTCGGCCCTAGAGTCCAAAATTGGCAAATACTAGTATATGTTGTGGTTCTGTTATTACCAGTTTGGCAGCAGATACAAGGAAAGGCAGGGAAGAAACAAAATGAAGGAGAAGATGGGGAGAAAGAGAGGCAGAATCTAAAATGAAAGAAGCGGAGAGCAGCTGGAGGCCTGGCCGGTCCCCTTGGTTGGCCTGCAGATGACACCTTACTTTTGGGTGAATGTTGAGTCCAGGATATTGTGTTCCTCTCGACTGCTTTTAAACTATGTCGGTCATGCAAAGAAGGCTGAATGGAGAACATGATGACCAAATGCACAAATGATCATTGATATCTTGTCATAATTCCATACTTTTGCTTGCTATAACAAAAACATGTCAGACAGAGGGTCAGAAGGTAGGTACAGAGTGAACCAGGCTAGGCGTTGGAGTGCATTCCTGTCATGCCTTAGTGCACAGGAGTCTGGAGAGGAAGCCAGTGAGCTCCAGGCTAGCACGAGCTTCACAGTGAGACCCAGTCTTACAAAGAATAAATAAGCCTGACATATGTTTTTCTTGTGATGTGTATGGCTGCTTTTTCTTCACATGTATCTGAGCACCACGTATGTGCCTGGTGTGTGTGTAAGCCAGAAGAGGGCATAGGACCCCCTGGAGTTATGGATGGTTGTGAGCCACCATGTGGGTGCTGGGAATTAAACCTGGGTCCTCTGGAAGAACAGCCAGTTCCCTTAGCCATTGAACCGTCTCTCCAGCCCTGATGTGATTTTGATGGCAAACAGATGTCCTGAATATGTTTGCTCCTGTGTACAGAGGTGCCGTTCATGACCTTTGTCTCCTTAGACATTTAAAATCTCTGTGTGCATCCTGTGGTGAAATCCAATCTCTAATCTGAGGTGTTTTCTCTTTGTGTTTCCTCAGGGAGGAACTGACCTGATCATCAACAGCTATGGTCCTATAGTTAAAAACAACACCAAGAAAAAGTGGCTTTTTTTCCAAGACACTAAGAAAATGAAAGTTGAGCAGGTAATTCGCCCATGTGAGAATCATTTAGTGCCCGTGACATCAAAATGATATTAGACGTAAGAGGGAAATGGGAACGTGAAAGTCAATAATCTTTGACCGATGCGGTTCAGTTCTGACAGTGAAGAGCTGTGTTGAGTGACAGCCAAAAGGACAGTTGAGACAGTCATCAGAGATGTGGTTTTCAGTGGGGCGTGAGGACCATAAGAAAAGAGAGGGACATGAGCTTATATGAAAATAACCAAGGTTGTGGGTTGTTTGTTTGTTTTAGAATTTATTTTTAATTATGGGTGTGCATACCTAAGTAGAGATATGCACATGCGTACGTAGGCCAGAAGAGGGTGTTGGATCACCTGGAACTGGAGTTACAGGCACGTCAATCACCTGATGTTGGGTGCTAGGCACTACACTCGGGTCTTAAACCCTGAGCCATCTCTCCAGCCCCACCAAGGAAGGTTGTAGCATTTCAGTTGGTGTAGTAGTTTAGGAATGCTCCCCGCTGCCCGTGGGAACTAGGGATGCAAACAATCCGTTCACAACGGCGATCTCTATCCGTGCTCGTGAACCAGCTGCGGCCTCATTGCTCCCTCATCTGTTTTTGCCCAGACTCCAAGAAGATTCACCCAGCCCGTGTGCTTTTACCAGCCAGGCACCACTGTGCTGATCAGCGAGGAAGACTCCCCCAGTTCCCCAGGCCAGACCGCCAGCTTCCCAAGACCCTTTGGGGTTGCCCTTGATGCTGAGCATTCGGCCAACAGTGAAGGCAGCCACGAGACGGGGGATTCTGGAAGGTTCTCCCACGAGTCCAATGATGAGATCCACCTGTCCTCGGTCATCAGTGGCACACCCCCCACCTCGAATTCTCTCGCCGGTGACGATTCTGATGGAGATGGTGCCGTGAAGAAGCGCGGAGACCCTGCAGAGCCCTTGCCAGCCGAGCAGACCTCCTCCTTGGCCCCACAGCCACCGGAGTCCTCGGGGCCGTGCTTTGCAGCCGAGGGGTTTCCCATCTAGACAGCTATGCTCAGGGATTCACAACAAGCGTCTGTTCGAAGGACAATGAACAGGGAGCCAAAGCCTTTTGTGAAAATCTTGATGTCTTACTGTTTATTGTTTTTTTTTTTATCTTTTAAAAATATTTTTTAATTATTTTTAAGCGCACGAATTTTGAATGTTTCAATTGTCAACAATGTGAAAAAAGGGCAGTCAGGATGCCTGACTGGGTTCTAAGATGTATCACTGGAGCGGAGGGAAGACTGCCCGAGCCCTCTGCTGAATAGCTACCTCAGTTTGCTTTGGCGGACTCTGAAGAACTGTGCTGCCTCCTCCTGCGCTGGCTTCTCGCAGTGGCGTAGCCAGCAGGACTTCCTAGTGACGCCGCCGTGTGTCCGTTGTGTGTGTAATGTGTGTGACTGAGGAGTCCGATGGCAAGACGAGGAAGAATGTTGATCTGAAGCTCTGTTTTTTGGTTTTTCTTTTTCTTTTTTTTCTTTTAGAGCTGTAACACCTGCATGATTTGGATAATGTTGTGACCTCTTGCTGTGAGGAGAAAATACGGGACTATATTTATTTGAATGGATGAAACAAAGATGTCTCCTTGGAGAAGCAAACCATTCCGTAGCACATAGGGATCATATCCTTGCCAGGCTGTTGGGATTGGAACACCAGAGCAGGAATCCTTCGCTCCAGCCCACACCAGCCTGCCTTCAGCCACCTTCTCTTTGGCCCCACAGTTGGTTAAGGGCTGCGCTGTCTCTTTTGCAGAACAACTTCAGAGTTTCCGAGCTAGCTGCAAAACACAATGTAGAAAAGTGGAATTTTTTTTTTTTAATGGTTCAGTCGGGCGGTGGTGGCGCACGCCTTTAATCCCAGCACTCGGGAGGTTGAGACAGGTGGATCTCTGTGAGTTCGAGGCCAGCCTGGTCTACAAGAGCTAGTTCCAGGACAGGCTCCAAAAGCTACAGAGAAACCCAGTCTCGAAGAAAAAAAAAAAAGTCCCAGTTTGGCTTCAAATGGGGCGAAGAAATGTCATGAAGTATTAAGAATGAAGCAGTAGAAAATAAGATGAACTTGAGGTTTTTGTAATAGCAGTGCCTTCCAGGATATTATTATGAAAAATTTTGCCTTATACCTTTTTAATATTCATGAAGATGTTTAGGAAAAAGGGTACCAAAAATTTGCCTTAACAAAGCTTGGCTCTCACAGATAGCTCTAACGTTATCTGGCACCTTGTTAGCATTGTTTTCCTTTGGAAGCGCAGGTTGGCCCCGGGGCTGTTGTGCCACACCAACCCTGTGGCTGACCTCTTGGCTTTCTGTCCCACTAACTCCAGGAGTGAGTTCATCCTCTCCCTGGTTTGAAGTCAGCAAACCCTTAGAGCAGGCCTTCTCAGCCATGAGGAACAAGTCCTGTGCTGAGCCTCATGGGAGGGAGAGAAAAAAGAGATGTCTTTAGCCTTTCAGAATCATGGGGTTCATCCTCCCCCACGTTTTTGGAAATGGATTCTGAGTTTTATTTTCAAAGAAGGCCCCTCTGTGGGTTTTCCCCTTGAAACCCTCCCAGCACAGATGGGACAGGTCCTGCCAAATGGAGCCCTAAAGTCAAGGGACCTGCTGGATAATCACCACGCTCTCAACTCCCTTGATGGCCCTGCCGTGTGATTCTAAGGTTTGTGCCAAATCGGGCATGCTTAGAACCCGACCCACGGCTGCCACTTCTGAGCGCAGTCCTGTCCCTTTCACTGTGGGCTTTTTGAGCAAAATGGGAAAAGAAAAAAAAAAGAAAGAAAAAAGCAGAGCTTTAGGTAAATGATGGGAGGCTAGAAAAAGGGCTTCCCGTGCCTTCACACTCCTGTTTATACTACCTCTCTTTAAAGTTATTCTAGTGTTATTGTTCTTTCCTGTACTCAGGGAATTTTGTTGTGTTTTGTCTTGTTTTTGTTTCTCTTGAGCTCATGACGCATGGGCGGGCGCACTGACAGGGTATGGTGTTGTTTGGTTCGTAGTTAAGTATGTGGGCCAACGTCTATCAGTATCTAAAATGAAGAGTATGGTGGGAGCGGTTGTTTTCAATCTTCAAAAGCAAACAAAATGTCAAGGTGATGCTTCAGGTTGAGGGCCATGTGCATTTGAACTGTGTTCTCTGCCTGGGTCCTCTGAAAGGGTCCGAGGGGATGCTGTCCCAGAAGAACGTGCCCTGTGTTTTGATGAATCGGCCCTTAGTTACAGTAGACTTTTAGCTTATAGCTATTTGCTAGTTCATTTTTTTAGCCTTTTCATTCTATTGTTATGCAGACTTTTCTGTCACAATCCTGCTACCAAAGAATTTCCAGTAGAAAAATGAAATTTCTATTATAATTACCCTAAATCCAATTCACTAGAAACAGCTATAAATAGCCTCAATTTCAAGTAATTTCTAACCCTGAACTGTAGGGTTTATATTGATAGTTACAGATAATTAGACTAGTGATATTAACTACCTTACTGTCTCCAGAGTGTTTAAAAATAAGTTGTGATTTCCTTGCCAACAGATGGTTACAAAGTATTTCGACTGTAGCTTTTTTTTCCTTCAGCAAGCGAAGAAATCTTTAACTCTATAGTATTAATGTATCTTCAAATTTTTGAAATTGCTTGTTGGAGGGGGAAAAAAACAAATCTTATCACTAAGAATAAATATTTTGATCTCATGGAATAAGGTATTTTATGTTAAACAGAGGCTTTTGGCTTGGTGAAAGCAAGCTTCTGTGAAGTCTGAAGTACGAAATTCTAACTAAAATATTAAGGTTATCATTTCTGTCTTATGGTACCATTACTTCATCATATTTCAACTCTAGATAGGCTGGTATGCAAACTGGTCACTTTCATTTTCTAGAGACATATTTGCTAGAAGTACTGATAACCTGCCTGTCATTTTTAATGTCAGATATTACAGTATATTGCTCATCAGTATTTTCATACCAAAGACCATTAAAGTATATCATTTAGCCTGTAAGTAACGATGAGCAGATTTAAAATAAATTTATTTAGGAGCAGATAGGGAATCTAGCTTTAGTGGCAAAAAGAAAAGACGAAAAGCTAAGTTTACATAGTTAAAGGCAATACAGTTATATTGGTATTTATCAGTGTTTTTATTCGAGTACTTTATATCAGCAAATTAAAAAGAAATTAAAAACCAAAGATATTTAAGGTTACCTCCGAATATAGAGAAATTTAGCTGTACATTGAACTCTTATTTGTTGTTTTGTGTGTTAATGAAGCATCTCTCCAGACCCTCTCCTCTGTGTCCAGATTTTCAGTGAAATCCACTAGATCAGCCATGGGGATATTTTTGATAAATGGTGCTGTGCCTCTTCCGTAAGGCCCCGTGAGTGTGACGGTCACCAGCTAGAACATCAGGCTCCTCTGTCCCTGGGTACGTGGGAGCCCCTAAATCCTCCGTATAGTCTGCATTCCTACGTAAAGTCATTCTCTGGTTATTCAGGCAGCTGGAGTAGGGCAAATGAAACGAGCCACTGTTTGGGTGGGCGGCGCTTTGAGTTAAAATGGGGTTTCTAAATTATAAGGTTTTCATTGCACCAAAGGAGCTGAGCTTAATCTCGAATGGAAACCTGGGTGAAGAGGATGACCTTTTTTTTTTTTAATGTAGAATCTAGAGATTTATAAAAAGACATATTTATCTATTAAATAATGTTTTGAAAAGTACCAAGAGTGTAGATGCTGGTGACATGTTACAGGCTTTCTTGCCATTACCTCAAACAGAAGCCCCACCAGCAACGCGGCAGTGACTTTGTGTGCATCATGTCTGCTTTCTGGGGGGCTTCTGGAAAAAAAAAATTAAAAAAGGCTCATGGCCGACGACTCAGGAGCACTGCTGACGTCCTTAGGAAGACACCATTGGAAAGAGTTCTTTGTGTCCTCCAAAGCGAGCATGGCAGCATGGTGCACTCCTTTGATCAATCGCAGTGCGCAGATATCTGAGGTCCAGTCCTGCCTGCTGTGTGTAGCGAAACAAGGCGAGGGGTGCCATTCCAGAAACCTTACCACCCGTGGGTCGGTCAGTGACTGTTGTGACCGATTCGCTTCTGTACACTTGCATAGCAGGTGTCCGTTTCGAATACCAGATGTGGGGGGACAAAAGTTTGAACTGTATTGTCAAAAGCTGTCATTTTTCTGAGGCCAACCATGTGTTTTGCATATTTTCTGCCTGGACATTTACTACGTGCGTCTCTGATAAAACTGCTTTGGTTGAAGTCAAAAATCACCCCTGCGATCTGTGAGCGCAGAGCGGCGGGTTCTGGAGACCGCCATGCACAGCCGTTCTTCTGATTGTGGATTTTATTGATGTTTAGAAGGCAGCCGTAGGTTCTGTGCTGGGTTGCTTATGCTCAGGATGTGAGTTCCCAGGCTAATGCAATGTGTGTGTTACCGGCTTTTCTACCAGGTGGGTTCTGTGCCGCTTTCCCGGCAAACCATCACCAATTTAGTGTCCGTAAGCAGCAGCGCCTAAGTATCTTACAACTCTGCGGGTCAAAACTCTTTTCCTTTTTGAGGAAGTTTTTTTTTTTTGCTCTGAAATTCTGCCATCCTGGAACTTGCTATGGAAGCCAGACCGGCTTTGAACTGGTAGCGCTCCTCCTGCCTCATACTCCCCAGATGACAGGTGTGGGCCATCGGCCCAGTTATAGGATAATAAGAGGCTGCCAAGGGGGCTGCCTTCCCCCTGGGAGCCAAGAGAAGAAGCCGGTGGTCTTGTCTTCAGCTTTTAAAGACTGTGAACTCATTTTTCTTCAAAACCAGCAACATAGCCCCTCTCCTTCTCTTTTTCTGACCCCAAGAAAGAAAGATTCTTTGGTTCTGAGTATTCATTTGGTTAGATTATTCTGGCCTTCTTCGTCCAAAATGATGTCCTTAGTTTCTTCTGTCATGTATTGTAGGATTCTCACAGGTTCTGGGGGTTCCTCTGTAGACTTCTGAGTGGCCATTGTTTTCCTACTACAGATCCGTCAATTCTGCAGAATTCCTCTCAGCAGCACGGTACTAGGTTTTCAAGATACAGCAAATCTGATGTCCCTTTCCCCTGGAAGCACCTTTAAAATGTCAAAGACTGGAAAAAATAGGCCCTGTAGTTTGTTCAAAGTGCATTAAAATCTGTCTCTAAAACCCCTTCAAAGCCAATTCAACTTTTTTTTCTTTCTTTCTTTCTTTCTTTCTTTCTTTCCTTCTTTCTTTTTCTTTTTTTTTTTTTTTTTAAGTGGGGGATTTGAGGCAGGGTTTCTTTGTATAGCCCTGGTTGTCCTGGTACTCGCTCTGTAGACCAGGCTGGCCTGAACTCAGAGATTCACCAGCCTCTACCTCCCAAATGCTGGGATTAAAGGCATATGCTACCGTCGCCTGACTCCCAACTCCACTCCAGATCTTATCTATGTTTTCAGAGGGGAAAAATCTCTTAAATATTTGCCTCCAACCATGTTGGATTCATCAGAAAGTTTTGGAAACCTTTTTTTCTCTCTTCAAATGATAATACTTGAGCAGGGCTGAGGAAAGGACTCAACACTTAAGGGATCTTGGAGAGATGAGCAAGACAGGGCAGAGTCACCCTTTGCTTTCTTTCTAAACACACTGATACGTACTGCCTTGCAGCCTGGTTTCTGCCTTCACTTAAACAGTGACGGATTTTCGACCTTCTAATTGGTCAGCTCTGAAGCTCCCCGTGGCCCTTGCCTCGCCTCACTCCGTCAGCACGTGTAGTTCCTAGGATGCGCTGAACTTTTCCACCTGCTTCATCTTCTAGTTGTTCTTTTCCTGGATGTTTTAGACCCCAAAGCTCTAGTTCGTTCTAATGTCTGATTATCTCAAGCTGGCCTCCTTTCAGTTTTGAAGAATGACTTCAAATTCTACCCTGACTGATATTTGGGATTTCTTTAGCAGAGGGAGAAAGCTGTTTCCATTCACAGGATGCTAACCAGGAGGAGAAGCTCAATACAGAAAAGCTAAGTGTCTTGCACACAGCCTCTGAGCGCCGAGATTAAAGGTGTTACCATCCTCCCAACCTCATCTTCATTTCTAACAAATGCACTCTTTCCTTGTTTGCATCAGCCAGCTTCGCTCCATCGATGGCCTGCAGAGTTTTCCTCAAGTTTCTGATAAATACATTCTTGACTTAAACCTTGAGAAAGAATGTTTCTTTTCCTACTGAACTCTCTTAAAAAAAAAAAAAAAAAGCAAAGCTACTCTTCTGCTGTCATAGAGTTTCTTATTTGCCACATTCTGTGTTATCCGTTCCGTTCCCAGACTAAAACCCTTTCCTGGTGGTAAGCCTGAACACAGACATTGCCTTAGCCCCTTGCTAGAGTGTAGGGCAGGGGTTAAGAAAATCTGTCTGTCTGTTACTGCCATTGAACAAAAGTTGATGTCTGTACGTGTAGGATTTTTTTTTTTCTATTTCAAAGATGTGAATTTAATGAAGTGTGGGAGCCAGTTAAGTTATTTTCTGTAGTAGGTGTTCTGGGTCCTGCCACTCTCTGCTTCCTTGTAAGGGCAGCATTTGCCAGCTTCAGCGTGGACTGTGGAGCTGAGCTACATTCGATTTCTACTTGACTCAGGGGACCAGCTCTGCAGACTCCATTGCGTGAAGACGGTGAATGTTTGTCTTGATTTTTGAATGTATTTTTTAAAATGTCTTCTTAAAACATGTGTTGTTTAACGATGTGGGTTTGTTTTCTGTTCCTAGCATGATAGCAAATATTTCCTAGTATCCGTCCACTACCCCATGTAGTTTGTATTCTGCCCTACAGGTCATGCCAAAAAGTGAATAAAAGTTTAAATGCCAAAATGTTTATGAAAACTGCTGTCTACATACTGACTGATTGCACAGTTTAAATAAAACTTTTCCTTAGTTAAAAAGCAAATGGTATGCGTTTTCCTTCTTTGGAGACTAGAGAGTGGACATCGGAACAGTTGGAGGGGATGACTTATTAGGTGTGTATTCCTGCATCCGGCCTCACTTTAAGAATTGTAGCCATGTGGTGTGTACTACATAATGGCAAGAACACACACCTTTCCCATTCCTGTTGGTTGGTGCACATTCAGGAAGCAAACATGAGGTGACCCAAAGGCTCTGGGCATGTTCAAGTCCACAAGGCATCGACTCCATGAATGAGGGTTTGGGATGACAAGAGGAGCCTGGAAACCTTCTCTTTAAGAACATCTAAAGTTGGAGCTGGAGAGGTGACTGAGTGGTTAAAAGTGGTCCAGTCAGATGACCGGAGTTTATTGCTGGGACCCATGTAAAAGTGACTGAGCATGTGCAAAAACAAAAAGAAGGAACAAGCACTAACGGGTACAGCACAATAGTGCCTGGGCATATAACTTAAACACTTACATTAGGAAGACATACAGGGTCTGGAGAGATGGTTTAGTGGGTAAAGGTGATTGCCGCCATCCTAATGACCCGAGTTCAATCCCCAGAACCACACAGTGGAAGGAGAGAACTGACTTCTGAAATTTGTCCTCTGGTCTCCACATATGTCTACTTGTGCCCACACATACCTTGAAGATGCATGTTGGCCTCAATTCTATTCTTGGCTGTCCCCATTGGTTCTGGATAAATCTTCTTTGTATCTGAATCCTGGGTCTCAGCACTGAGGCCATCACTCTGAACAGTGAAACCTGGTTGAGGGGTGAAGATCAACTCTGGAACTCAGGTCTCATGGATTTGACTACAGCAAGGTGAAGGGACGTTTTTGAGAGAAATTTTGCTGGGGAGATAAGAGTTGGGTGGAAAAAGCGTGTATTAGTAGTGACTTGTCTATGCTGTAGCAAAATGCCTAACCAAAGTGACCTAAGAAAGGTAGGGCTTGTGGCTCACAGGCTGAGCGCCCCATCTATAGAGATGGGTGTCACGAGGCTGGAGCATGAAGCGCCCAATCACATCACAGCCCCAGTCAGGAAGCAGAAAGATCAGCTCCCTTTCTCTTTATTCAATCCAAGACCCCGGAAAGTAGGATGCGGCCGCCCATGGCTAAGGTCTTCCACCTTAGTTAACATAATCTAACTCATTCCTCACAAGCGTGCCCCGACGCTGGTCGCCTAACTGATCCTAGATCCTGACAAACTGACGGTTTCCTCCATGTCTGCAAGACGGTGTCAATATGATGGTAGGTCAGCTTTCCTTTGACACTTAAAGGTTTGTATCCATGAGGCTTGATTAGTGTGCTGAGGTCAAGTGACGACTCATCATAAGCATCTGGCACCTCCCAGGGGCGACAGGAGTGGAAGACCATGACAGACACGAAAATGTGAAGAGTGTGTGTATATCTGTGTAAAAGCACCATGTCCTAACTCAGGTCCTCGTACTTATCTGGCGGGCAATATTCAGTATTCTGCTTTTTGAAACACGGTTTCAGTGTGGAGCTTTGGCTGGCTTGGAGCACAGATATCCACCTGCCTCTGCCCCCAGAGTGCTAGGATTAATGCCGTGCACCGCCACCAGCTACAGCTAGGCTATTCTTTTCCTAAAGAAGCTAATGTAGGGTTTTACCTTGGGCATTGCCTGGGCACTAGAATGCCTTGTCTGTAAGGTCTGTAAGTCTTGTCTATAGAAAGATGAGACTCCCATTTGGTTAGTTATAGGTCCTCTTGGGTTTAAGGAATACTTGTCTCCGGTTAGATGTAGAAACAAACCGTGTTTTACCTAACGGAAGGGTAGTCTGCACCTAGTTGATCTTAGTACACGAACTAGAAAACCTAACTTAACCTCATAAAAGTTCATCAAAGAATGTCAGAGTTAAAAGACATCATAGAGATGAAGCATCACTCACTTGATAAATCAGAAACGGAACGTCAAGAGTGCGTGCCTCATTTGTCCCAGGTCACATAGCCCAAGGGAAAAATGTGAACTACCAGTCAAATCTAATTTATAGTCTCCTTGGTTTGGCGTGGGGGGGGGGGAATCTCCCTACAACTTACTCATGTATGGTCCCCTTTCCCAGTGCTCTTCTACTGTTAATTCCCTGTTTTGAAGAGCCCAGTTATTACATATCCAAGGCAGGGGGCGTTGCAGAAACACGAGTTCGAACCACGGGCACGGGGAATGTGGGGCGTCCACACACCCACCTAAGAACTATGCCACTTTCTCTGACAAAGTTTTTCTGAAATCCGACTGCGAGGCCAAGATGCCTGCTAGGGCTAGGATGAAGTTGGGAGCTGCTGTTTCCTTGGGGAGGCTGGGCTGGGCGTGCAGAGAGGCGTGGAGCCGGGGATCTTGGGGACTGAAGGGCAGAGAACAGCCCGGGGCGCAGAGGAGCTGGACGCAGAATTTGAGGGTTTGGGGCCTTGGAGGGCGACGGGGAGCGCAGAGCAGGACGTTGCGCCCTTGCGCCCTGCACGGGGTGCGCGGAACCAGGGAGTCTTGGGCCTTGGAGGGCAGCGGAGAGCGTGGAGCCCGAGCTGCGGGGCGCAGACGGGAGACGCAGAGCTGGGGGTACTGGGCCTTGGAGGGCGCAAGGACCCCGGCGCATAGGGGTGCAGGGTTAACGCAGGGCCTGGCGCGCACGGCCCCGGAGCGCAGCGCAGCCCGCAAGCGAGGCCGCGGCCCCCGGAGCTCCGTGCGGGTGAGGGTGCGGGGCTCCGCGCGCCCTGGGTCCCCGCCCCCGAGGCCCAGCCCAGTGCTGGGTTGTAGAGCACAGGCGGGGCGGGGAGGCCTCGGGACCGCGCCACGTCCCCCGAGCGGCCACTGCAGACCGGGGGCTTTTGTGTCCGCGGAGGCCGCGTCTCCCCCGCGCGCGGGCGGAGCGCAGCGCAACGCGGCCCAGGGCGCGCATATTCTGCGGGCCGGGCGCGGGCGCCGCCCCCAGGCCGCGGCCCTGAGCCCGGCTGAGCCCCGCGTGTGTGCGGAGCCCCGAGGCCTCGGCCGCCTCCCAAACTTTTCAAAGTCGGTCCGCGGCCCGGCCGGCCTGGGCTCCGAGCTCGGCCGGGAGGACCCCGGGGACCAGGAGGAGGACCCGGAGGACCAGAAGGAGGACCCGGAGGAGGAGGGGCCACCGCATCAAAGACGCCGGCTTCCCGCGGCCCGGGGGCGAGCCATGCGCGGCGGTCGGTAATGTCAGCGGAACAGGACAAGGAGCCCATCGCGCTAAAGAGAGTTCGAGGTAACCGAGCAGGGCCGGGAGGACCGGGGGAGTGCGGGGCCACAGGGAGGCCACCGTGGCGGCCCGGGCCTAAGTGCGCGGCCCCAGGCGCGCGGGGTCCCCACTTTGTGTGCAGACGTGCGGCGCTCAGCATCCCTTCCTACCAGACTCCTCTCCTACTTCCCACCACACAGCACAATAGACACCTCGGGGCGAAAAAGAGACACCCGCGAACAATACCCATCCCCACCCCCCGGAAAACTAAGTTGTACTGCTAGAGAGTTGGGGCGCTTTGAGGAAGCACCTCCCTCCAAAAGGCAACACATATTCGCTATATTTTTCTTTAGTTTAGGGAGAGAAACTAGATACATTCAGAAGGCGTTTTCTTTATTAACCAATAAGATTAAGAATCGAATCATCCAGAAATCAGCTTTCTGCATCATTGGTTTTCTTCCTTGCAAACTAGTAAGGAATTTGAATGCCTCTACAGTCTCGAAAAAATCAGAGAGAAGGATGTGCTGAACAAAAGGTACTGCATGTAAGTTTAAAACACACACACACACCACCAAATACCATCTGGGAATGTGTGGCTACCCGCCAGCTCTTATTCCCAGCTCCGGATGGGTTTCTAAGTCTGAGAGTCTCCAAGTTTGTTCATTGTGCAAATATTTGTTGAACATGTACTATGTGCTAGGTACTGCTCTTGGCACAGGTTAAAACACTGAATACAGAATGTAGGTAGATGTTCTTCACGCAGGAGTGCACACACTCAGTAAACAACATACATGGTCGGGTACTGTGCAAAATATGAAACCATGAAATGGGGGTAGAAAAGACCGGTGGGGGGGGGCAGGGTGATGAAAGGCTCACCCGGAAGACGGCTGAGAGGAAGATCGCACAATCCCAGTCATACCTGGGGGAAGGAAGGGCACTCCAGGCAAAAGGAACCAAAGTCTGGTTAGCCTGTGTATCCAAGCACTGGAAAGGAAGCTGTGGTAACTGTGGCAAGGTGAGCCAGGATAGACAGAACTTCCAGGTCTAGTGGGCTAAGGTTAGGGGAGTGTGTCTTGAGAGTCGTTAAGGTTTTGACTTCTGCCAGAGTGGTTGGTAGGCCTTTAGTTCCCGCACTCCAGAGGCAGAGGCACGTGGATCGCTGTGAGTTTGAGGCTAGCCTGGTCTACAAAAGTGAGTTCCAGGCCAACTAGGGCTGCATACTGAGACCCTGTTCAAGAGAAAGAGGCTTTTTCTCCGAGGTATCTGAGAAAGGACTGAACAGTTTTGTGAACAGAGCAGTGACCGAGTTTCTAATAGGGTTTATCTGAGTGTTACATAGAAAGTAAGACTGGGGGGAAAGGGGCTGGAGCAGGGAGCCTACTGCAGCAATCCTTTTACCCAAACAAAGGTAAGGTGCCCATGCATCAGTAGCTAGTAAGATAAATTCCCGCTTACTTAACTGACGTAGGCATCCATTGATGTTTTGGTTAGTGTGGGTGGAGGAAACATAACTGAACTGCCTCACGATGCCAACATTGTGAGATCCATAAGATGTTTTCTCAGCTTTTTAGGTAGAATCCCCCTTTCTGGAGCTTGAGGACAAAGCGCTTGTACAACAAGTGTGAGGTCCCCAGCACCTAGGTAAAAGCCAGGCGAGTGTGGCAACTTTCCTGTCATTCAGGCAGGTGGAAGGGGAGACAGGCGATCCCCCAGAGCAGGCTAGATCAGCTGACTCAGTGAGCTTTGAGTTTCAGGTGAGAGACCCTGCCAAGATACGTAAGTTAGAAAACAATCAAGAGTCGGTTCTTGGCCCGGAAGTGGTGGCGCACACTTGATCCCAGCACTTGGGAGGCAGAGGCAGGCAGATCTCAGCGAGTTCGAGGCCAGCCTGGTCTACGAAACAGTCCCAAGACAGCCAGGGCTGTTACACAGAAAAACCCTGTCTCAAAAAAAAAAAAAAAATGGGTGGGGTGGAGGGATCAGCCCCTGACCTCCACGTGCACAGAGACATGCAGAAAAAGAGAATTGGACTTTTCAATCATTTAAGCAGAAGTTCTAACTTATAGCAGAGCATTGCTTTTAAAAGCTTGATGTCCAGACAGCCTTCCATTTCGTCAGTTTTGTTGTGGTGGTGGGGTTTTTGTTTGTTTGTTTGTTTGTGTTTTGTTTTGTTTATTTTTTTGAGGCAGTGTCTTACTGTGTAGCCCTGGCTCTCCTGAAACTGACTATCTGTGTAGATGGGACTGGAACTCACAGAGATCCACCTCCCTTTTCAGGGAGCTCTGGGATTAAAGGTGTGTGCCCCAATACCCCAATTGGAGAAATACCATACTCCTGTTTTGTTTGTGATTATGAGGTGCCACGGCCTTTAAGGCTTACTCTTTTCCGAGATGCACTTTTCCCCTGAGATTTTTGCAATACAATTTCGTCTATTATTATAAATTGCTTTGGGATTAAAGGAAAGGAAAGAGCTCTCAGGTTTATGCCTGTGATCTTAGCTGTTAGTCCTAACCAAATGTAAGGCTAAGTAGAATCCGGCAGTATCTCAACTTGTGGGCAAGAACACCAGTAATCCTTTGCATTGTTGCAGTATCTCTTGTTGCTCTTGCAGCATTAAGTCCCACATCAGCGGTAGGGAATGGGCTCAACTCTCAGCTCAAGAATAGTTTAAGAGTTGAATCCCAAACTCTAAGAATCGCTTTTAAAAACACACAGCCAATATTTTTACTTCGTGGTGAGTGTTTTTATAATAACGTATTTCCAAATACATCAATTTTAACAGACTTCTTGGGACTGGTTCGTAGTCCATAAAGGTTCTGTGTTCCTTTGTTGTTCTTGTTTTTTGTTGGTTTAAAAAAAAGGTTTGTGTTATGTGGTCCAAGCTGGTTCAAACTTCAGGCATTCCCCTGCCTCAGTCTCCTGAGTGTGGGGACTGCAGGCATGCATGAGCACATGCAGCTACTATCTGAGCTTATATGAAGCACAGTGCTATTGAAATTAGCTGCTCTGGGTTGTTGTTGTAACTATACAGTTTTTTGAGGCTGCAAGCTGTGGCTTTTATAGGGCATAGACTCTTGAGTAGCGCTTTTCAGAGAGTCCCAACTACTTGCTCTTTACGGGCAGACCTTTGTAATGGTTATGTGTTTACTTCATGTATGTCACAAAAATTTCATTAGATTCCTGGTTTAGGAAAAGATTTACATACATATATGTATAGCGCTGTCATATATATGTACATATATTTCAATTGAAATGAATTGTTTTTTAAAGAGATTTATTTCAGTTTATGTATTGATGGGGGTGTATGTGCACATGAGTACCAGTGATCTTGAAAGCAGAGGGCATGTGATGCCCTGGAGCTGGAGTTACACTCGTGAGCAACCTTACGACAGGAACTGTCTTGGGTGACAGGAACCGGACTCCTGTCCTCTGCGAGAGCAGCATGTGCTCTAAACCCCTGAGCTATCGCTCCAGAACCTTAAATGAATTGTTAATAAATTAATATAAAACTGGGTATTGTGGAGCACACCTTTAATCCCATCACTCAGGAGGCAGAGTAGGTGGATCTCTGTGAGTTTGAGTCCAGCCTGGTCTACATATCTGGTCTATATAGTGATTCCAGAACAGCCAGGGCTCAACAGAAAGGCCCTTGTTTTGAAAGAAACCTTCACTGTTTCTTTTTATTTTTTATTTTATTTTATTTTACAAAGATTAACTTCATCTGTAAATGAGTCTGACTCAAAGAGAGAAAGTAATATAGAATATGGGACTGGAATATGGGGACTGGAGAGGTGACTCAGTAGTTACAAGTGCTCGCTGCTCTCGCAAAGGACCCAAACTGAATTCCCAGCACACAGGCGCTTACAAGGATAGCTTACCAGGGCCCGAAATTTAAGTTCCAGGGGGACCAAAGCTTTTTTCTTTCCAAGGGCACCTGCACTCACACTCAAACACACACACACATAATTTAAAATAATAATAAAAATAAATCTTACAAAAACTCAAGATGACTCAGCAGGTGAAGGCGTTTGCTATGTAAAGCCTGGTGACCTGATGTGGGTTCATGGAACCCACAAGTAGATAGAAGAAGGAAAAACTGATTCGAAAACTTATCCTTTGACTGGCAGACACCTGTATGCTGTGGCACATATATTTCTCCACACACAATGAACGAATGAATGAATAAGAAACCAATAGAGATAGAACTTAGATGTGACAAAATGAGATGCCATTGACTGAGGACTTCACTGTACCATGCTCTGTAGATACAAAGTATCATAGCTCACTGGGCGCTGATGGTGCACACCTTTAATCCCTGAACTCATGAGTCAGAGGCAGGTGTATCTCTGTTAGTTCAAGGACAGTCTGATGAATGAGTTCCAGGACATCAAAGGATACCCAGAGAAACCCTTTCTCAAATATCTCCAAAACCGACTCTACCTAAGACAACAACAACAACAATAGCAGCAAAATGCTTATGGAGGAGTCAGAGATACGAACGTTTGCCTAGCATTTCAGAAGCCCTGGATCTGATCCCAGGTCCAGATAAACTGGATGAGAAGGCACATGTCTTTAACTTCAGCACTTGGGAGGCAGAGGCAGGTGGGTCTCTGTGAGTTTGACGACAGCCTGGTCTACAGAGAGAGTTCCAGGAGCCAGGGCTATTAAAAGAGAGAGCCTGTCTCAACAAAACAAAGCAAACTAGAAATAAAAGAACGAAACAACAGCAAAAAACATGGTGGGGGGGGGCAAGTTCAAAGTCATTCATGGCTACATAGTGAGTTAGGTATCCTCCTGTAGTACCCAAGAACACTGTCTCTGCAGAGACAAGAACATTAAAAAAAAAAACCAGTTCCTATGGAGGAGTCATCTGGGGGGAAATCCCTGAAAGACTGTAAGAAAAGAAACAGAAATTCAGAAGTGAAGACGGAATTGCGAGCTTTCACATTTAGCAGTAACATAAGGGACAAGGGCGACGTTAAAGAGATAATAAAATAAAGAGAAATGCCATTCATATACTAACCTTT